CTGGGCACCTCTTGTTTACATCTATGACTCTGCACAAATACAGTGGCTCTCCGGCTGCAGTAGGGTGGGCGCGTGGGCTCAGGGTCAGGGGCCCGAGCTGGCAACCCACGACGACTTCTGAGAACCTGGCCGAGCCCCTGGCTTCCCCCAGCCTCAGTTTCCCTGTCTACAGAGAGGAGATAGTAACGGAGCCCCCGCTCACCAGCCCGTTTGAGGTTTGAATGATAACGGATGCGAGAGGAGCGCCCAGCAAACTTAAAGCCCTGCCTCTGGCTCCCCAGAGACCCCTACCGGTCTAATACAGACCCCTGAGTTTGACACCTGGCCCAGTCACCTCCTGGGTCTGCGGCCCCGGGCGACCCCCTGCACATCCCTGGAACATCAGAACTCCCCACTGTCCCGGGGACGCCCGCAGGACCTGACCGCCGAGGGCGCGCAGCTCTGGGCACCCCCGCGGGCCCTCGCCCGCCGCGTCCGCCGCTGCGGAGTTCGTGCGGCTCCGACGGGGCTCCGCAAATATGCGCTGAGCCAGCGGGAGAAGGAGCCGGAGCCCGGGCGGAGGAGATCGCCTTTCCCACCCCTTCCTGCCCGAGCGGCGGAGTTCGCGCGCGAGGGGGCGCGCCCGAGTCGGGATTCGTCCAGGCCGCGCGGGCTGCCCGCCCCTCGGCGCGGAGCCTCCGGCGCCGCCCCTGCCAGCCCCTCCCCGGGCTGGGCGCCGGACGGTGGGCGGCGGCGAGCGGGCGGGCCGCGGAGGACGTGCCGCCTGCGCCTCCCTCCCCGCGTCCCTGGCTCCGGGCGGCCCGGGACTGCCGCGGCGGCGCGCGGGTGCCGGGCCCTGCTCGCAGGCCATGGGGGAAGGGGGCGCCGTGGGGCGCCGTCGGCCCTTCCCCGGGGCGCCGCGGCGGCGCTGGTGGCGGCGGCAGCAGCAGCAGCAGAGGCAGCGGCAGCGCTGGTGGCCGGGCCGCGGCGAGGGCGAGGGCGCGGGGCGCGCCGCCATGGGCCTGGCCGGGCTGCAGGTGGGTGTGTCGGGCCTGGCCGCGCGGGGGGCGGGCGGCGCGCGCGGGGCCCGGCCGGGCCGGGCGGCGGGAGGGCGGCGGCGCGGGCCTGGGCCTGGCCCTGCCGATCGGCCGGCCGCTGCCTCCGGCGGCGCCGGCGGCCCACCACTGCCGGGCCCTCGAAACATGGCTGCGGCGCCCGGCCCGGGCGGCCCCGCTCCCCGCCCCGCCGCGCCCTGAGCGCTCCCCTCCCCCGCTTCCCCCGGGTCCCCCCTCTCCAGGCAGGAAGATGTCCAAGCCCCGCGCGGTGGAGGCGGCGGCGGCGGCGGCGGCGGTGGGAGCGACGGCCCCGGGCCCGGAGATGGTGGAGCGGAGGGGCCCGGGGAGGCCCCGCACCAACGGGGTAAGCAGGCACCCTCCCCGCACTCCCGCTGCGCGCCCGCCGGGCCCGGGCCGCCAGCACGTGGGCGCCCCGGCCCCCGCCGCCCTGGGGCGCCCGGCTGGGGCTGCCTCATTTCTGCTGGCGCCACGCTCGGCTGCGCCATGACCCTGGCAGTGCTCGACCTCGGGAAAAGTTTGTGCCTTCTCGGCGTTTCCATCGCTGAGACCCAGCGTCCCCGAGGGGCTGCCTCGCCAGGCCGTGTGCGGGGCCTGCCCGGGTCCCTCCCCGACCCGGCGCCTCCTGGCTTATCAGGCGACAGGGGGGGAGCCCAGAAACTGGCCTGCGTAGTCAGGAGAGGTCCCACACCCAGAAACCGCGCAGTGGCTGGGCGGGCATGCCCACCCCCTTCCCTGGTCATCGCCCAGGTGCGGTTTGCAACAGCCGCCGCCCTGGGTGGGCTGGCGGGAGCCTCTGCTCCCATCAGCTTTCCCGTCACCCTGAGGAAAGTCGCCAGCCTGGAACCGGGAGGCTCCTGGGCTGCAGCCACTGAGAGGGGCCTGGGGGTGCTGACCAGCCCCCTCCGCCGACCTCAGAACCCAGTGGTCAGTCAGGTTCCCTAGGCCTGTCCCTCTAGGGGCTTCTGGCCTGACTCCGCCCAGCCCTTGCACCTGCCTCAGCCTGCCCTGGGTCACTCTGACCCCTCCTGGCCGCTGGCTGTTCACCTCCTTCCTGCAGAGACCTTTGTGGGCAGCTGGTGTCCCGCTGGCCAGATGTCCCCTTGGTGAGAGAGCCAGAGGCCACAGGTGTTGGGGGCCCGGGGGATTCCCAGCCTGCCTGCACTCCCGCGGGAGGACCCCCGGGGTCCAGCCGCGGTGTCTGTTCTGCCCCCTGTGTCCTGGTTGCCTCCTGCGGGGTCTTGTTGCTCCAGCGCCCTTCAGAGCGTGTGTTTGTCGTTTTAGGAGAATGTGTTTGCCGGGCAGTCCAAGATCTATTCCTACATGAGCCCGAACAAGTGCTCCGGAGTGCGCTCCCCGCTGCAGGAAGACAACTCCGTTGCGCACTACGAAGCCAAGTGCCCGGGGAGACCATTAGCCGGGATCTACCGGAGGCGAGAAGGTGAGTGCCTGGCGCGGCCGGCCTGGCTGCAGGCCTTTCTCCTTCATAAAGCCCTGGGCGTCCCCTGTTCCTCCTGCCCTCTGCCAGGCCGCGGAGGTTTGAGCCCCGAGTGTCAGCTCGCTTCTGAGTAGCAAGCACTACCCAGAGCGGCCTGCCCCAGGGCGTGTGCCTGGTCGGTCAGACAGGTTCTCCCTGCTCTCACGTGAGTTAGCGCAACCTTAGCCCTGGTGGTGCTGCCACGTCGCGCCTGACTCACAAGGAGAGAGGCGCCCGAGCGTGGCAGGTGCAGGAATGGCGATTCCGGGTCGTCCCGCCGGGCGGGTTCAGTGCCGGCTGCTGCCCCATGCGATCACAGGGCGCCGGCTCCCCGCCCTCTACCCCCGCCTCCCTCCGCGAGGCAGCACACTGTGCCGTGGGCTCTGGAGTTAAAGTACTGAGCAAGGGAATGCGGTTCTCGACCGCCTGATCGTGCTGTGCCAAGCAAGCTGAGCCTCCCGGAAGTCTTGCCTTCCTCCAGAAACTCCCTGTGGGGGGGGGGGGGCGCCCCCCCCCCCTCAGCACGCTGCCTGCTGATTAATTCTGTCTGAAAGCAGCGGAGCACCTGGCTCCCGGCCCCTCCTGTGTTCTCGCAGAACGGGTCCCGAGCGACGACCTCGCCAGCCTCGGGGGCAGAAGCCTCCCGGGCTGGACTTCCCAGTGCACAGGGCAGCGTGACCTCTGTGTGTGACTTGGGTTCTAATCCTGCCTCTGCCACTGGAAAGGAGGCAGCCTTCCAAGCCCAGTGGTGTCTCCTGTAGACTCGGGGGAGGAGTCCTCCTGACCGCCAGGCGCCGCACGGATGCAGAGGGGCTTTGCCCTGGCTCCCGGAGCACCTGGGACATGCTGTCCCTGCCACGCCCGGGGGCGCAAAAGGCTCTTTCTAGAACCAGCAGTCAGTGAGGCTCATTCACATTGTCCAAGTGATGGCGCTGTAGCACCCGAGTTAGCTGTTGGATGGCAGTGATTAACATTGGGGACCCCAAGGGCCAGACTTCTCTGATTCTGCCATGATGCCGGTGAGACACGAGTCATTCACGGGCGCCACACGTGCCCAGTGTTAGGTTGACGGCCTGGCCTTTGGTGCCACCCAAGAAGGTGTGGAAGGGAGTAAGAACAATCCGGATGGTGTGGACGTACTGGTTTTTCTCTTGTGTATCGAGGTATGATTCTTACGTCATGAAGCTCATCACTTTATAGTGTAACTGGCTGGTTGTTAGTACGTTCACGGAGGTGTGCAGCCATTACCATTCATTGATTCCAGAATGTTCTTTTCCTCTCAAAAAAGAAATCTTGTACCCATTTTCCACGCCCCCAACCCCAGGCAGCCATCCGGCTCTTGTGTCTCTAGGAGTTTGCCTCTCTGGACATTTCGTAAAGTGGAGTCACGCGGAGGCTCCTGGGTCTGGCTCCCGGGGCGCATCCGTGTTGTAGCATGTGTCGGCTTCACGCCTTTTCATGGATGAGTCGTGTTGCGTGGTGTGGATGGACCACCTTTTGTGGCCTGGCTCGTTCCACGTTTGGCCTACTGGAGGGTCAGATTTTGTGCGCACACGTGTTTTTCATTCTCTTGAGTGGGTGCCTCGGGGTGGGATTGCTGGGCCATGTGGGAACGCCGTGTTTAGCATTTTGAAGGACGCCAAAGTGTTTTCCAAAGTGGCTGTACCATTTCACATTCCTACCGGGAGTGTGGTATTGACTTACCTCTTAAAAGTAAATTAAAAGGAAAAAGAGGGCAAGACGTTCACAGCACGGGCGCTGCACAGCTGTTTTAGTAATGGATCATTGCAGTGTTCCTCGTCACACGCCGGCCAGTCTGCGAGAGCCACTGGACACACACGGCACGGCAGCCCTGTTGCATTGTAAAGATTTATTTACTTATTTCAGAGGCAGAGAGAGAGAGACCAAGATAGTCTGTCCACGGGTCACTCCCCAAAGGGCTGCACAAGCCCGGGCAGAGTAGCCAGTTCTGGAATCTGCACTTGCAAGCCGCGGCTTAACCCACTGCCCCAGAGCCCCGAGGCGTCCAGGCAGCGCTGGGGGACGCTCTGCCGCCTGGCTTCCGAGGTGCTGTTGCCAGCAGTGCTGTGTGTGCCGCTTCTGCCTCCTAGGCTCTCCACAGCCAGCACAGAGGCTCAGAACCTCTGCCCAGCGTGTCAGTCTAAGGTAGAGCCAGGGGCTGGTGCTGTGCTGGAGCAGGTAAGCTGGTGCCAGATCGAGTCCCGGCTGCTCCACTTCCAACCCAGCTGCATGCTAATGTGCCTGGGAAAGCAGCGGAGGATGGCCCGGCTGCTTGGGCCTCTGCACCTACAAGGGAGGCCCAGGGGAAACTCCTGGCTCCTGGCTTTGGATTGGCCCAGCTCCAGCTGTTGCGGCCATCTGGGGAGTGAACCAGTGGATGGAACATATTTCTCTCTCTCTCTCTCTCTGCCTCTCTGTAAGTCTGCCTTTCAAGTAAATAAATCAATCCTTTTTTTTTACTGGCAGACAGAGAGAGAGAGAGAGAGAGAGGTTTTCCATCCTCTGGCTCACTCCCCAGATGGCCGCAACAGCTGTTGCTGGGCCAATCCAAAGCCAGGAGCCAGGATCTTCTTTGTGGTCTCCCATGTGGGTGCTGGGGGCCTAAGCACTTGGGCCATCTTCTACTGCTTTCCCAGGCCACAGCATAGAGCTGGATGGGAAGTGAAACAGCCAAGGCTCAAACCGGTGCCCACATGGGACGCCATCACTGCAGGCAGTGGCTTCACCTGCTGCGTCACAGCACTGGCCCTAGTAAATAAATATTAAAAAAAAAAAAAAAAAGAGCCGCGCCCTTCTGCCAGGTGGCCCTTAGTGGACGCCAGGCTTAGCAGGCTGAGGCCACTCCCCTCTCCTCCCCGGAACCCTCTTTTCTTCCTGGAGCCTGTCTTTAAAGTTGTTTTTAAATTTTATTTTCATTTTAATTGAAAGAGAAACAAAAATAGATCTTCCCTCCCCTGGTTCACTGCCCAGATATCCTCAACAGCTGTGGCTGGGCCGAACTCGGGAGCCAGCAGCCCCATCCGAGTCTCCCACGTGGGTGGAGGGGACCCAAGCACTTGCGCTGTCACCTGCTGCCTCCCAGACGCTCACTGGCAGGCAGCTAGGTCACAAGTGGAATAGCGGGTGAAGCTACACCGCCTGCAGCGCCAGCATCCCATACGGGCACCAGTTCAAGCCAGCTCCCTGCTAATGCGCCTGGGAAAGCAGTGGGAGATGACCCGAGTGCCCAGGCCCCTGCAGCCATACTGGAGACCTAGCAGAAGCTCTTGGCTTGGGCCTGGTCCAGCCGTGGCTGTTATGGCCATTTAGGGAGTGACCCAGTGGATGGAAGACCTTTTTTTTTTTTCTCTCCTTCCTCCCTCCCTAGCCTGTAACTCTGTCTTTTGAATAAATAAGTAAATCTAAAAGAAGAAGAAGGGGCCAGTGCTGTGGGTGGTGTAGTGGGTAAAGCCACTGCCTGTGGTGCCAGCATCCCATGTGGGCACTGGTTTGAGCCCTGGCTGCTTCACTTCCGATCCAGCTCCCCGCTGATGTGCCTGGGAAAACAGCAGAAGAAGCCCCGTAGCCTTGAGGGAGACCCAGAAGGTCCTGGCTTCGGGCTGGCCAAGCTGCGGCTGATGAAGCCATTTGGGGAATGAACCAGGGGATGGAAGATCTCTCAGTAACTGACTTTCAAATGAATTAGTAAATAAATCTTAAAAAAAAAAAAAAAAAAAAAAAAAACAGAGAAGAAGCGGTGGAGTAGCTAGGACTTGAACCTGGCCCCCTGTTGTATGATGCAGGCATCCTAAGCAGCCGCTTTGCCTGCCGCGCCACAATGCCCGCCCCCCAGAGCCCACCTTAGCGAGGGTGGAGTGAACCCTGTTTTCTCCACCCTCTGCCTGCAGAGAAGAGAAGTGGTGGGAACGCCATACGAAGTTCCATGAAGGCCGAGGAGCCGAAGCTCAGAGACACCAGGAGAGGCCCCCTGGCACCTTTTCCAAACCAAAAACCTGATGCAGCAGAACCTCCAAAAACTCCAGCCCTGGCTGGTGACTCTCCCGCTGCAGCCGGCGCCAAGCCAGCCCTGAAGAAGCCCCTCAAGGGCCGACAGACCCCTCGGAAGAAGTAAGCACCGCGGGCCCGTGTGCTGGCCCCAGGGAAGGCTGCCTGGGCGCCCATGAGGGCCACGTGCTCCCCTGTCCCCACCTGTCAGGCCAAAGGCTCGGCCCCCGTTCTGGGTCTGGTGCCGTTTGGGAGTGTGGACGCCCTCCCCTCCCCGCTGAGCAGGGCTGGCCTCTGCAGTGCCCCCCCAGCGGGGCCTGGGGGCAAGTGAGCTGATGTGACTGCCAGGCCCCAGGGACAACGGTGTTTCATGGGCATCATTCCCAGGGAGCCACCTCCCAGGTGTGAGCGTGGCTTTCCGTCCCAATAGTTTTTCTTTCCCCGCCCTCCTTTCTTAAACAGAGCTCAAGGAAAAACGCAGCAGAATCGCAAACTCACGGATTTCTACCCTGTCCGAAGGAGCTCCAGGAAGAGCAAAGCCGAGCTGCAGGTAGCGCCTTGTGGTTTCAGTCCAGCTCTCGGGGCAGGGTGGCCCAGTGGGCAGTGCTCGGCCTGTGTCTCAGCCTCGTTTGTGTCACCTTAGGGCGAGATGCTCGGCCCCTCTGGCCTTGGCCATCTCCTCCCTCTAAGGGGGTCGTCTCAGAGCCTGCTCTGCCTTCCTGGTGGGTCCCTGTGGGGCCTGGGGAGACACTTCCGTGAGGGAGCCTTGTGGCCTGTGGCGTGGAGAGCCGGGTGCTCCAGGGCGAGTTGGCAGGGCTGTTGCTGCCTGGAGCGCTGCTTGGTCTCTTGGAGCTGTGTCTCAGGGAGGCGAGGAGCCGTGGGTGGCGCCGCGTGTGCCAGCTGTGCCCTGGCAGTCCCTCGGCTCTCAGTGCTGTAGGTGGGATGGCCGAGTAGTCGTGGTGGGCTGCCTGTGCTGATTAAAAGATAAGTATGTTCACGTGTGTAGGACTCTGGCATTGTGCCTGGCACTTAACCTTCCCCGTGGGGCCTCCTCCTGGGGCTCCTCTCTGCTCTCTCTTGCCCAGCCACCGCCCTAGGGGCATGAGGAGCAAACTGGAGTGACTCACAGGAGTGCAGGGAGGGGCAGCTGGGGCCCCTCTGTGGTGGAGCCCGGGGTGTGGCCAGGTCCCTCAGGACTGCGGGGGCAGCCCCTCTTAGCAGCCAGGGCCTGGGGGCAGTGCCCAGGCTTGCCTCCCCCACCGAGCGGTGGGGAGCCTGGGCCTGGGGGGGGGGTTCTGTGTTTCAGCCTCCCCCCACCTGCCGCCCCATACTTTGATGTTAAATCTGCAGATATAGATGCAGCCGGGTTTCTGTGTCTCCTGCTTTTAAACACCAAACTGGGAGCAGGCTTGCAGGGCAGTGGTTAAGACAGCAGTTAGGGACCCATGTCCCCGCCACGCCCCGCACCTGAGCTCCTAGCCACAGCTCCTGGCTGCAGCTTCTTGCTAGTGCAGGCCCTGGGAGGCAGCGGTGATGGCTCAAGTCATCTGGTCTCTCGTACCCCTCGGGGAGACCAGGGTTGAGTTCCTGGCTCTGGCTTTGGGCCCACCCAGCCACGGCCATACAGACATTGGAGGAGTGAACTGGTGGATGGGAGCCGTCTCCACCTTGCTGTTTGTGTCTATTAGTATTCCTCTCTTGGTCTATCTGCCACTCAAGTAAATAGTAAAAACAGCCAACAAAAGTGGGTGGGGGGCCCACTTCGCCCCTGGGGAGCAGCGTTGGCTGTATTTCCAGAGAAAGGCGAAGTCTTTGGGCCAAGAACGAGCCATCCTAACGGGCGCACCAGCAGTGGGAGGCTGCACTGTGTACCTGCAGCCGTGGCTCTGCAGAGGGGGCGGCCACGCCAGGCAGCAGAGCCCTCGGCCCCTCCCGGCTGGGCTCCCAGCCGCTGTGCGCCCACACAGCCATCCCAGCCTGCCTTGCGAATGGAAGCAGCGGCTTGTCGGCCTGTAGGAGCGAGGGCTCAGGGGCCGGGAGTGGCTCAGCTGACCTCGTCAGCAGCCAAGTGCAAGGGGGACACCCTCACGTCCCCTTAGCAGGCGCAGGAGAGCTGACCCTGTTCTGGACCGAGCGCCGGAGCCCTGCCGTACCCCTCACTGTTTGTATTGGCTCTGCTGAGTGAACCACGTGAGCCGCCGTTGGCCGGGCAGTGGAGCTGCTGTTGGCCGGAGCAGTAAGGCAGTGGCCGGCCAGGACAACGGCACTGTTGCCAGCCAGACACTGTGGCTCTTGTTGGCCGGCACAGAGCGACGACAGCTGGCCCCGGTGCACATTCTGTTTGCTGCATAGGGCAAGCCCAGGGGTGCGGCCTCAGGGCAGCGTCTGAGGGTGAGGCCAGGCCTGGCCTGACTGCCCTAGAGGGCCAGCAGAGACTGTGCCCGGGCTGGAGTCCAGGTGGGCGGGGCAGAGCAGTGTGGCTGGCCAGGTGTTGGGAGGGAAGCTTCCTGGACACCTTGCTCCGTCTGGAAACAGTGGGCAGCCCAGAGCCCAGGGCAGGAGTTGGCCTCTGGGATGCAGGGTTTGGACTCGGGGGGAGGCGTGCAGAGAGGCCTGGACCCCCTGGCCCTGCACCGTGGGGCTCCATGGCCGGCTGGCCGGGCCTCGAGGAGGCTGAAGCTCAGCTCCAGGGACAGGCGCGCGGCTCCGCTGCGGATTCCACATTGGGCATGGCTGGGCGCTGGGCCCTTCCTGTTCACAGGCCTGCTGGCCCTCACTCAGGCCTGCTGACTCCCTGTCTGTCTGCCGCCAGAGTTCTCCTTAGGACGCTCGGAGCTGGTTGTCTGCAGGCCCCCAGCTGGGACTGCAGAGACGTGGTTCCATTGGCTGTGTCTCCAGCACGCACGGTGGGTGTGGTCAGTGGCCAGACAGGCCGCAGGCTGTGTGCAGAAGGGTCTGGGCCCAGTGCTGGTGCGGGGTTCCCTGTCTGCATGGTTCCTTTTTCTCCCTCATTCCTGTGCCACAGCAGGGCCATGGGGAAGCCCAGTTAAGGACAGAGGTGGCAGCAGCATGGCTGTGGCCTGTAGGACAGGAGGCAGGACGTGTTGGTCAGGACTGTCTCACCAGGGCACTGACCTCTAGACAGCACCCCGGGCCCCCCACTGGGGGGCGCATAGCACACACAGGGCCCCTCTAGGGGGTGTGGCCCCGTATCTGCCGTCGCTGTCATCGAGTGTATAAAGTCCCAGTACCGGTTTTCAGATGTCCGTGATTTGTCAGGTTTTAGAATGTTGCATGGGCAGAACAGAACACATCCGTGAGTGCCGTCCCACTCTGGCCCCGCACCGTGGCCCTCCTGACCCAGCTGAACCCAGGGGACTGGCCTTCCACAGCAGCTGGGGCTCCCGGCCCTGCCGGGCACGGGAGAAAACGCTGATGGCTTGCTCTCTCCCCACCCCTCCTTCTCTCTCTTCCTCTCTCTCTCTCTCCCTCCCCCTCTCCCCCTCCCTCCCTCCTTCTCTCTCTTCCTCTCTCTCTCTCCCTCTCTCCCTCCCCCTCTCCCCCTCCCTCCCTCCCTCTCCCTCTTCCTCTCTCCCTCCCCCTCTCCCCTCCCTCCCTCCCTCTCCTTCTCTCCCTCTTTCTCCCCCTCCCTCCCTCTCTCCCTCCCTCTCCTTCCCTCTCTCCCTCTCTCTCCCCCTCTCCCCCTCCCTCCCTCCCTCTCCCTCTTCCTCTCTCCCTCCCCCTCTCCCCTCCCTCCCTCCCTCTCCTTCTCTCCCTCTTTCTCCCCCTCCCTCCCTCTCTCCCTCCCTCTCCTTCCCTCTCTCCCTCTCTCTCCCCCTCCCTCCCTCTCTCTCCCCCCCCCTCCTTCTCCCTCCCTCCCTCCCTTCCCTTCCCCCCCTTCCCTTCCCTTCCCCCTCCCCCTCCCTCTCTCTCTCCTCCCCCCAGTCGGAAGAACGGAAAAGAATAGATGAATTGATCGAGAGCGGGAAGGAAGAAGGGATGAAGGTAAGGGTCGGCAGAGCCCGTGGGCGTGGCCAAGGGTGGGCGTGGCCGAGGCTGTCCGCTCACAGCCGGCGTGGGGGGGCCGCCTGCGGCTTTGGCCACCAGTGTCACAGGGACTGGTCAGGCTCCTGGGGTGTCAGAGAGCCAGGCACTCACACTGCCAAGGAGACGCTTCATGAAGGAAACATACATGGGCTTTGTGCGTCCGTGTTACCCGGGGGGAAGGCTTTAAAGTCGTGGTGAAGTGCCCATAATAGAACACATGTCTTCTTAAAGTGGACACTTGTGTGTCATGGGGCGCAGTCAGGATGTTGTGTAACCATCACCATTACCCAGTTCCAGAACTTACCCTGCTCCCCTGCCAGCCCGGCACACTCTGGGCCCTGGATCTGCCCCCCAGTGCGTCCTGCCGCCTGAGCCACACAGTGTGGGTGTGCAGCTGGCCGGGTCCGGCTGCTTTGACTTATATCAAAGGGGAAACTGATACATTTGTCTTGAACTCTTGTCCTGCGCAATGGCAATCCCGAGTGACCCGCGCTCTGGGGAGAGGGGAGTAACTCTCCACTCTATGCTGGGGTGGCCTGGTGGGTCTGGACTTGGCCCTGGGCTCAGAAATCTTCAGTGCCCACCCCACAGCCCCAAAACGGAATCGGAGCTCAAGTCCCGGGCCCCTAAAGCCCCCGCCCTGACTCCATCTTGATGGAGCAAGGGGAGCTCTGGCAGGGAGTGAGGGGAGACTGGGACCCAGGCCCTGCACTTTTTTATTTTTCAAAGATTCATTTATTTATTTGAAGGCAGAGGCGGAGGCAGCGAGAGAGGTGTCTTCCATCTGGTGATTCACTCCCCAGATGGCTGCAATGGCCAGAGCTTTGTCAATCCAAAACCAGGGGTAGGTACAGGGGCCCAAGGACTTGGGCCATCTTCTGCTTTCCCAGGCCATAGCAGAGAGCTGGATCGGAAGTGGAGCAGCCGGGACTCGAACCGGTGCCCATATGGGATGCCGGCACTGCAGGCGGTAGCCTTACCTGCTGTGCCACAGCGCCAGCCCCCTGGGCCCTGCTCTTGGCACTGGAACCTAAACGGCGAGGCCGAGGCTATGCGGTGCAGTTCCTGGCTCCGTGGCCTCAGCCACATGGCTGTGCTCTGTGAGCCCGGGTCTGCTGATCTGCAGCATTGGGGTAGCTCTGCCCTGGGGACCTCGTGCAGTGCCTGCACACGGGCACACGGGTGCCCCGGGACCCTGCACACGGGCACACGGGTGCTCCGGGACCCTGCGCACGGGCACACGGGTGCCCCGGGACCCTGCGCACGGGCACACGGGTGCCCGGGACCCTGCGCACGGGCACACGGGTGCCCGGGACCCTGCGCACGGGCACACTGGTGCCCCGGGACCCTGCACACGGGCACACTGGTGCCCCGGGACCCTGCGTACGGGCACACTGGTGCCCCGGGACCCTGCGCACGGGCACACTGGTGCCCCGGGACCCTGCGCACGGGCACACGGGTGCCCCGGGACCCTGCGCACGGGCACACGGGTGCCCCGGGACCCTGCGCACGGGCACACGGGTGCCCCGGGACCCTGCGCACGGGCACACGGGTGCCCGGGACCCTGCGCACGGGCACACGGGTGCCCGGGACCCTGCGCACGGGCACACTGGTGCCCCGGGACCCTGCACACGGGCACACTGGTGCCCCGGGACCCTGCGTACGGGCACACTGGTGCCCCGGGACCCTGCGCACGGGCACACTGGTGCCCCGGGACCCTGCGCACGGGCACACGGGTGCCCCGGGACCCTGCACACGGGCACACGGGTGCCCCGGGACCCTGCGCACGGGCACACGGGTGCCCCGGGACCCTGCACACGGGTGCTCCGGGACCCTGCACACGGGCCCACGGGTGCCCCGGGACCCTGCGCACGGGCACACGGGTGCCCCGGGACCCTGCACACGGGCACACTGGTGCCCTGGGACACAGGAGTTCTGAAGTTGGGGTGCGGCGGTGGCTGCACAGCTGTATCCACTCTTCAGTGTGGTTTGCTCCTGGGGCCAGTGTTGGGGCTTAGAGTGAAGTTGTTGCCTGCAACGCGATCATCCTGTGTGGGCGCCGGTTTGTGTCCCGGCTGCTCTGCTTCCGATCCGGCTCCCTGCTAGGGTCCTGGGAAAGCAGCGGAAGATGCTCCAAGTGCTTGGGCCCCTGCACCCGCGTGGGAGACCCGGATGGAGTTCCTGGCTTTGGCTTGGGTCAGCCCTGGTGTTTGGGGAATGAACCAGCAGGTGGAAGAGCTCTGTCTCTCCCTCTCTATCTGTAACTCTGCATTTCACGTAAATAAATGAATCCTGAAAATTTGAAAATAATAATAAGATAAAGCTTGCCCCTGGCAGGCCCCCAGGAAGGCCCGTGCCTTGCGGCCGCCACTGCTGTTAAAAACCAATGCTCTCTCGCCGCCTCCTGGCAGATTGACCTCATCGACGGCAAAGGCAGGGGCGTAATTGCCACGAAGCAGTTCTCCCGGGGCGACTTTGTGGTGGAGTACCATGGCGACCTCATCGAGATCACCGATGCCAAGAAGCGCGAGGCTCTGTACGCCCAGGACCCCTCCACGGGCTGCTACATGTACTACTTCCAGTATCTGAGCAAAACCTACTGGTAAGTCCGCGGCTGCTTCGCGTGGCCGCCCCGCGCCCCGCCAGCCACGGGCCTGGGCTGATCGAGCTCTTTGTGGTTCGGCTTTGGGTGCAGTTCTTGCTGCCTGTCTCGGGGCTGTCTCCCCACTTCCTGTCTGGAAGCCCCGGGGTGGGAGGTGGGCTGGGGGCCGCCTCATCCAGCGAGAAGCAGAACTGGACCCGTCTCACACAGCCCTGCCCGGCAGCCCACCTGGCTGCTCTGTGTGGCCGCTAAGTGCTCCTGGCTGTGGCCAGCGGAGTTGACTTCTATCCATGGATCTAGTTCGTAAAACTCTCCAGTTGCCTCCCTCGTCTCCAGAAAGAGCCCTTGTGGGTTGTGTCCCCTGCGCCTCCAGCCCTTGACGGGTCAAAAGGCCTCTTTGCCTGTGTAACCTCCTCCCTCCCCACCAGCGTGGACGCCACGCGCGAGACCAACCGCCTGGGACGGCTGATCAACCACAGCAAGTGCGGGAACTGCCAGACCAAACTGCACGACATCGACGGGGTGCCCCACCTCATCCTCATCGCTGCGCGGGACATCGCGGCCGGGGAGGAGCTCCTCTACGACTACGGGGACCGCAGCAAGGCCTCCATCGAAGCCCACCCCTGGCTGAAGCACTGACCGCCGCCGCCGGCCTCTCCAAAGGACAAAGTGCCCTCAAAGGGAATGGGTTTTTGTTTTGTTTTTTACACTTAGTCTTAGCAGATTACTTCAGATGTTTTTAAAAAGTATATTAAGATGCCTTTTCACTGTAGTATTTAAATGTCTGTTCCAGGTTTCCAAGGTGGACTTGAACAGATGGCCTTACATTACCAAAACTTTTATATTCTAGTTGTTTTGTACCTTTTTTGCATACAAGTCGAACGTCCGTGCTTCCCGTGCATGCGGTCAAAGACTCGGCACAGGTTTTAGAGAGGAAAGAGAAGCAGGGCGCCGGGCGGGCCTCCCGCCTGCAGGTGCAGAGCCAGGCCCTGCCCGCCTGCCCGGCCTGCCCCGGGCGTTCCAAGCTCTTGTTCTCCCCGCGTCTCGACAGGCGCACGCTGAAGTGTATGAATATTTTTTAAAGGGTTTAACAGTAAGCTAGTCTTCCCCTCTGCTTTCTCGAAAGCTTCCTGGCCCCCGGGGCCGCGAGCACAGGCCCGGTGTCAACTGCTCTTCCACAGGCTGCCCCTCCCCGGGCGGCCGAGCAGGCTGGAGGCAGGCGGGGGAGGTGCCGCCTCCCTGTGCTGCCGGGGCAGGGTTCCCGAAACTGGGTTATTAATTCTTTATAGAAATGTGAACACTGAGTTTATTTTAAAAAAAAAAATTTTAAAACGTTTAAAAAAAAACAGCAAAAAAAATTTAAAAAAGAAAAAAGGCAAAAAAAAAAAAAAAAAACCCACAGCAAACAACTTACATGTATATAGGTCTTGAAGTGAGTGAAGTGGCTGCATTTTTTTGTTCTGGGTTTCTTTGCTTTGTTTCTGTAGGCGAGATTTGAGATGGTACTCTATTCTAATCAAAAATAAAGTTTTTGTAGTGGGACCAGAAATGACTTACCCGGCCGCCCCACCCCCACCCCACCCCCCATGACCTGCTGTCGAGGCCTCGGTGCCCCAGGACCCCTGCCGCCAGCCTCAGGGAAAGGCGCCAGGTACACGGGACAGCAGGCAGGGCTCGAGGACAAAGCTCAAGTGTTTTCCCCTGGACCGGTGGTGGGAGGAGAAGTGGCTCCCTCTCCCTCCCGAGGGGGCTGGTTCTCACTGTCCGCCCCCAGGCCATTGGGGCCAGGTCAAGAGCCTGCCCTCTGCTCCAGGCGCCTCCCCCCACCCCAGGCTCATGACGGTGCTACCTAAGAAAGTCTTCCCCGCCCCCGCCGGCCTGGTGAGTGGGCAGCAAGTCGGAGGAGGATCCGATGGCAGCGTGGAAATGCGGGCTGTACCTGTCGTGGTTTAGCTTTGTATGTAAGCAAACAAAAAGGAAATAAACTTGAATCTTATTTGTCATCATAAAAATGAAATGAGAAATTAAAGTATTTATTGCCAGGCGAGATCACCTGCCTGTGTGTCTGTTCTTATGAAGAGCCCGGACTGGGTCTGGGGTTTATTTGTGAGGGCCACACGGCGGGTGGGGGCGGGGTATCAGTGCACATGATTGTCCACTTAGGGGGCCTGGAAATGTGATGGAGGCATAGGTGCTCGTGAAGGTGAGAGGTGAGCATGGACAGGCCGGCCCCTGGGGGCACTGCCAGCTGCAGCTACGTTCTTAGGCAGATGTCCCTCCGCCCGCCAGGCCCTTGTCCCCATCTTAAATGGGCTGGTGGCTCCCTCAGCCCCACTCCTTGGGCACTCGAGACAAGTACGGACCCTGGTGTAGGAACGAGCGTTGGCTTCACGTGTTGGTCAGCTGTGCGCTCTCACACAAAATCAGTGGCCCCTGAAACCTGACGCTGTGCAGGCGTCTGCCTGTGCGCCTTGGGGGGCATCTTGGGGAGCTGGTCCTCGGGTGTTCTTACAGTCTCCTTGTGTGTGTTGGGGGGAGGGGCGTCCACGTGGTCTGCTGGCCACACAGGCCTGGGAGCGGCAGCTCCAGTTCCTGCCCATGTAGGCATGTAGGCCGCCGACACGGGTGTGGGTTCCCACCTGTGGCAGGCTGACGGTAACAGCTGGGACGCTGTGTGTGATTGCGAGGACTGGGTGACTTACTGCACAAAAGGCCCTTCGCCGAGTGTCTGGCACAGATAGATTCCTGCCGCTGGCTGTTTGCAAATGCTCAGCCTGGTCCTCCCGAGTCCTCCTTTAATGGAGGCGTTGATTTGCTCATTTGTGTGAGACGATGATGGCGCAGCACCCACTTCCTGTGCCTCTCGAATGAGGCCTGGTTGGAGCCCGCTCCTCGGCCTGTGCCCCGCACCCTCGCTGGGTGTGTGCTGAGCCTGCAGTGGGGGAGAGGCAGGAAGCATGGGGCGCCAGGGGCGTGATCTGTGCTGCGGCCAGGCCCGCGTCTGGGAGAAATGTTCCCACGCCCCAGCGTCAGGTTGTCCTGAGTCACTCCCCAAGCGTTTCTTGCTGGAGACTTCGTGAAACATTTACTTGAAAGGCAGAGGGAGGGAGGGAGGGAGGGAGGGAGGGAATCTCCCGTGCCCTGCTTCTCCCCCAAATGCTTGCTGCAGCCCAGGCTGGACCAGGCCAAAGCTGGGAGCCAAGAACCCCTCTGCAGGCCTCCCATGAGGGTGCTGGGCCCCTGCTGCCTCCCATTAGCAGGAAGTAGGAACCAAGCTGTGCCCTAACCACTGCACGAAATGCCCAGCCTGAGTACTGGCGCCACCGGGGCTGGGGGCTCTCAGGTCTGTCCCCCAGGAGAAGGGGGCAGGGCTGTGTTTACACAGGGTGACCCCAGGTCTGGAAACACGAGCCGCACACACCAAGGGCTCCCTGATGGCAGTGCACGATGATCTTACGTGTGCTTCGCGGCTGCCCCGTGCCCTGCAGATGGGGAAACTGAGGCAAGGATGGCTCAGGTGTAGTAGGATTGCCCCCAGGGCTGGACTTCCAACTTCAGTCCCCAGGAACCGGTGCTGTGGTACAGGAGTTAACACACTGCGTGCGATGCCAGCATCCCGCACAGAGTGACAGTTTGAGTCCCAGCGCTCTAGTAACGGCCTGAGGAAGCAGCAGATGGCTGGCGTGCTCGGGGCCACCCATGTGGGAGGTCCCGCTGGAGTCCTGGTTCCCGGCTTTGGCCTGCTCTTCCCTGGGCTGTGTGGAGAATGAACCAGCTGATGGCAGACCTCCCTGTCACTCTGCCTTTCAAATAAATGAATGAATGGATGGATGGATGGATGGATGGATGGATAAAATCTTTAGAAAACCACCAAGCAACCAAACTTCAGTCCCAGGAACGGCCTCTGCCACGCATATGGCCCCGCCCAAGCCACGCACGTTCTGCGTGGCTTGCTGCCCTCACTCATGTCCGCCTGTGGTTCCGGTTCCCGTGCTCACACTCGCCCGCCAGGGAGCACGAGAGGGGAGCAGCCAGCCAGGGAGACAGCAATCCTGAGAGCTTCAGGGGTGACTCGGGAGGGTGACCTGGACTAGGCGTTTTTGAAAACAAAACATGTATCTGTTTACTTGAAAGAGGGCCAGAGGGAGCGCCTCCATCTGGTGGTTCCAGTGGCTGCCATGTCCTGGGCTAAACCAAGCTGAAGCCAGAAGCCTAGAATTCCACTAGCTGGAATCCAAGTACGTGGGCCATCTTCTTCTGCCCCTGAGGCACACTGGCAGGGAGCTGGGTCAGACGTGGGGCACCACTCGAACCTGCTCTTGGGTACGGGACGCCGGCATCACAGTGGCAGTTTAACCCGCTGGGCCACAACGCTACCTCTGGATTAGGGCTTTAAGGCCAGGGCCCTTTTGTTGGAGACAGGGTGCTTAAGACTGGGTCGTGGCATTTGCATTCGCTCCGTGTCCTGCTCCTAGCATTCCCTAGCTTGGGACACTGGCCAAGTTCCTTCACTTCCCTCTGCATGTACCACCTTGAGCGTACACAGAGAACAACACCCACCTCACAGGCAGCAGGATGTAGGGACTTGTGCTCATTAACATAAAGTACTTCAAACCATTCACAGAAAAATGCAGTTAAAAGTATGAATTTAGGCCAGCGCAGCGGCTCAATAGGCTAATCCTCCGCCTTGCGGCGCCGACACCCTTGGTTCTAGTCCTGGTTGGGGCACCGGATTCTGTCCTGGTCGCCCCCCTTCCAGGCCAGCTCTCTGCTGTGGCCCGGGAGTGCAGTGGTGGATGGCCCAAGTGCTTGGGCCCTGCACCCCATGGGAGACCAGGAGAAGCACCTGGCTCCTGCCATTGGATCAGCACGGTGCGCCGGCCGCAGCGCGCCTGCCGCGGCGGCCATTGGAGGGTGAACCAACGGCAAAAGGAAGACCTTTCTCTCTGTCTCTCTCTCTATCCACTCTGCCTGTCAAAAAAAAAAAAAAAAAAAAAAAAAAACAAACAAACAAACAAAAAAAAACAAAAACAAAAAACAAAACGAAACAAAAAAAAAACTTTGGAATCCATTTAGTTTTCTCATAATATGCATTTTCATCAACTACAAAGGAATTTTCTGCCTCAAAATAAACTCATAGTTTTACTTCCACTTTCTGCAGTTCCCTGCAATGTTGGAAACTCTGCAGAGAGCTTCGCAGCTGAGAACCCAGGCCTTGGGTCAAGCCTGCCTCTGCTGTGCGAGCTGCTTCAGTCTGCAGATCCACAAACAGGGGGCCAGGCTCAGCCCCAGCCCCCTGCGTCCTTGCCAGGAACAGTGGAGGGAGTCCAGGGCGCAGGCTCGGCAGCCCCGCTCTCTCCCGACCGCATTTCCTTCACTCCCACACACCCACCTTCTCATCTCACCAACTCCGACCCCAGGACGAGCCTTCAGATCAGTAGCGCCACAGTTAGACTTTGCAGCGTGGCGTCACAAATGAGCCCGGGAAACAGGGGCAAGTGCCACGCACACACATGCACACACACGGACCCATCCACTACCTGAACTCTAGGACACCATTCCAAATAGCCTCAGAAAGTCTAAAAGTCATTTTGCTTTAATATAAAATCACACAAAGAGGGTCACGTGGGCTGAGTCAAATATTCGCGGAGCGTCAGTGACGTTGCCCCTGGAATGTCCACAGCGCTCCCCGCTCCCGTCTGCGGCACGGTCACCACCAGCGTCCTCTGCGGAACTCACAGGGCAGGAGGTAGCCCCGGCGCTCTCCCCCGACCTCCTGCGCCAGCTACAGCTTGCAGGGCATCCAGTTGTGCAGCCGGGGAGCAGGCGGGCTGGGAGAACCTCATCTTCCGCCGCAGACCGCCCGAGAGGAAGCAAGGGGGCGGGCACAGTGTGTGCTGACGGCACCCAGAGCTGGGTCCACAAGGCATCCTGCTGGCCGTCTTCTCCAGGCGGGCAGCTGTGGCCTGGGTCATGGCCTTCGACTTAGATCTGCTTCCCGGACCGGAAAGAGAACCTGGGCGGAGAGCGAGGGGCAGAGTGAGCAGAGGGAACAAGCATGGGGCGCACACACCCCTGCGAAACCTGGCGGTGTCAGGATTCTTTCAGGGCGCGTCACGGGCCGGCGACGTGCTGAGCGTTCCCTTCTACCGGCTTACGTGGAGGCTGCACCAGTTCTGCAGTGAGTACGATGAGCAGCCCCCGTTTCGCGGAGGAGCACTTGCAGGCTGGGAGGCTAAGGCAACAGGAGCTGGGCCTGAGCGCTTTAGCCGCTGTGCCATACCCATAGCTGGTGTTCCGGTTTGTGTTTTGTTTCTAAACTTAGGGGGTTCCACGTGGAGGAGGTGGCGATTTCTCCGTGGGACCTCCAGCTGCAAAGCAGACCTTTGCGGTCTAGGTCTGGGGTAAAACAGATGAAACACAGAGGCACCCCCCAGGCCGGACCCCACACTTGGCATTGGCTCCCCGGCAGGGGCACAGGGCTGGCAAGGTCAAATCCAGCGGTAGGGCTGTGGGCTCTGCTTCCCGCCAGAAACCAACCACCAGCACCCCCAGAAGCTGGTCCTGTGTGTGACGCAGGCATCGGGCACCCCCCTCCCAGCCAGTCCCTGGGAAGCTGGGGAGCTGTCCTCCACGCCCCCACCATCTGCCATATTTGAGTCATCACAACTCAGATATGTCCCCCCCCCGCCCCGCTTCTCATCTCCTCCACTGCCATCTGCCAGTCCAGGCCACCACGAGGAGTGGGTGTGGCCACCCCCCTGCGCCCCGCTGCGATGCGTTCTCGGGGCAGCGAGGAGCTGGCTCAGTCATTCCTCGGCTCGAACCCTGCCAGAGGCCCCCACCGTCCTCAGGATGAAGACGAAACTCCCTCCGCGCGTGGCCTGCTGCGCTGCAAGTCATCCTCTCGTTCTTTCACGCTCTGCGCGAGCCCAGCTCGCTGCCGGGACCACGGACACAGGCCCCGCACTCGACAAGCCCCTGAACAGTTCATCTGTGCCACATCCGATTCAGGCTCTCATGAAATGAGCCCAAGAGCTCCCCCAG